AGACAGGGGTGAGTTGGGGAGGGGCTTTAGGAGGATGAGGAAAAATGGGGCCTCAGAAGCAACGTTTTCAGCAATTACAAATTAGCAACTCTATACCCCCAAGTCCTGGTGTTTCCTTCAAAGAGATAGGCCCCATGCAGTGCGCATGTGACAGTCAAAAGACTTCCATGTAGGATGGTTTTTCTTACTAGGCATATTTAATTAGGGTTGTGAATCTGATCAAATCAAAAGGAAGGAAAAATGCATGTGTACAATTTGTGATAAATAACGATCCACATCCTCTACAAACGGCTGATTCAAACGGGCATCTGGATCCCTATTTCTGTAAAATATCAACCTAGGAGGAATTTTTATCACCAGAGAAAATACGTCTCTAAGCCTGTGCTTGTTTCTTTTAAATAGAACCTTTACAAGGGTGTTTATGGAACCCGCACACTTACTGTGGTTCACTAAGTGTGTGGGTTACATTTACAGCAATGTATGTAAGTAATTATAACACAGGTGCCACAAACTGTAACTCAAATGACTAAAGCATGTCTTACATAAGGCATGTCTCCTGGCAAGAGACCAAGTGAAGAATATGGAAAAAATCGCAAACAAGGTTTTTCTCTCATTGCTTTCAATTTCTAGTGGCTCTGAGGTGCTACAGGTAGTACTATTTGGTTTCTAATTTTCAGACATTTCCTTTGCATACCAGAGCCTAAGAGGGTCTGAGCTAGTAGATTTTGTGATCCCCCTTGTTTCTGGGATGGGGCAAAAATGAGGAGTGCAGTTTGTGGGAGGGGACTGCTGGGAAGTGGGCTTGTGGGGTGGGGTCTGGGTGGATGCAGGAGTGGGTTGGGGATTGGTGGGTCTGGAATGGAGGTAAGGAGAAGGAGCAGGCTGGGATTGCAGGGTGGGTTGGGATGTAGGGTGCAGGAACACAGTGGCAGAGCCCATGGGGCCCAGGGTTCCCCAACCCTGCTTGAGTCCTATGGAATTTCTCCATTTGCAGTGGGAAATATCACATGCTCCAGAGGAAGGGAGAAGACTCTTTGCAGGAGCTGGCTATGGTGCCACTAGCCCACAAACTGGCACCATTGTAAAGCTAGGAGTAAGCTGTGAAAATAGCATGATGCTTATCCCCCTCACATTATTCTTCTGAACCAGAACCCCTGGTATTCCATGCTAGTACAGTTCCCAACCTAACTGGGCCTCATTTATGGTTGTGCAAAAACAGGCAGGAAAGAAAACAGCACTATGAAGAAAGCCCTATTGGAAAATCCCAAATTAAATATTTCTAACTCCTTGTTAAAAAAGGAAAAAAGAAACAAATATTGTTTCACGTCTTTGTTCATCTGCTAACAGTTTTCTTTTAAGAGAGCACTGCAGAAGCTTTCGAAACTGGGTTTGTAAATGTACGTGATGAGGGCCATTTGTGTCAGTGTAATATCAGATCTATAAATATCTGCATTATAAATCACAGGTTTTTCCTTAATGGGGAATGGAGGGATCCTTCAAGCCTTTTTTGCAGCCACAAGATTTTTCCTACTTTTACCTTTTCTTTTCTATCAACTAACCTAAAGAGTAGGCCCAGATTCTGGGCGATACTTAGGTATCTAACTCCCATTGAAATCTATGGGGCTGGACTTATGGTTACCTTCTGTCATGAGTAATATCAGTGTGTTTGCTTACGAACCTGATTAGATTTTTTAAACTCAAATTTGTGGGGTTGGAACATAATTATATATTACAGATTGCAATCCCCACCATGTTTTTACAAACTATGATTGTCACCATAAAACTTTTGGGTCTCCCCAATGACGTGCTTCTTTTATACTCTTATTTCATAGTGCTAGTTTCAACTCTTCAAAGTCATTTAGGTACCTAATTTCCATTCATTACAGCAGAAGCTAGGAACCTAAATATCTTTGAGGACCTGGGCCCAAATTTCATAATTTCATGTTCAGTTTCTCTTCAACAGTAACCAATAATCACAAAAACAATGCACAATGTAGTTTCATTGGTTATAATGAATGTAAGCTTGCAAGGAATTATTAGGAAAACAATTATTAGAAAAACAAAATAGTAGCAGGATCTCACAGGAAAAAAAGATTTGACTTATTTTGATGTGTGGGTATAATATAGTGGTAATAAGAGATCTTCTAACCTGTGTAGAACAAAAATAAACTACTGGAGCTGGTCAAATGGAAAGAGCCACAGTCTTATCAACAAGGGGTAGAATATTTGCATTTCATCCATCAGTTGCACTAGCCCTTTTTGTTGAGTTTGTTTTATTTTCAACATGATTCGTGTGAAATCCTGCTTATTCACAAGCAAACCAGTCTGGTATAAACCCCAACATTTTACAGCTTGCAGTCCTTGATTGACTGGGAGATGATGGTGTTGTCTGTAGGACTTTTACCATGACACTTTGTGTGAGTTAAAATCATGTTAATTGATTAGGGCAAACTCATCAATTAGTGCAAGAGTTCCTGAGGGGAAAAACAACCACTTTTAATATATGTACATAGTTAATATCACTGCAGAGAACAAAATTAATGGCCCCTGGCCCAATTCTGGCACAGTGCCTGCCTGCTCTGCATGGCCCAGCTGGATCCTGAATCCTGAATCCTGCATCCTGGAACCTGCCTCAATAAATCCTGAGTCTATCAACAGTGTCTAAAATATTGCCACAGTGATTGTCAAAAGGCCCACTAATCAGCTGCTGTGCCTGCCACAGAAGATTGTTGTATTTGCACCTTTGCTTTCTTGCTCAGTTTGATGCAATAAGCGCTGTCCTGCTAAGCAGAACTGCTGCACATTCCCTCTTAGCTCCAGCTGAAGGGGGAAAAGCTTCTGGAGAAAGATGAGTTAAGCTCTGTCCCCACTGCCACAGGAAGTATCAAGTTCCTGGTGGGCAGCATCTTGCAGTCCTTGCTGGTTATAGATTTGTTACATTGGTGTTTGAAGTCCTGGGGAAGCCTCAGATGCTCAAGAAAGACTTTCTTCTTAGTAGAATAATTGAGGAGCTTGTGGTGTGGTGGACAAGTGCTCCACTGAACATGACCAGGGCGGGTTTAATTGTCTATCTTGAAGACAGAAGTTGAAGCTAATCCCATTTCACTTGCCAGAATGTAGCAAGTTTGCAGGGAACTAAGAGAGAAGAAGCAGGCTTCAGAGAGAGATCTTGGGGTTGAGGCTGTAGGACCCCAGGGCTGGACTGAGCCATCCTGAGCGAGGAACTGTCAGGTGCACCAAGTCTGCTGGAAAGGTTGCAGCAGCATTTGTGCTGTCCTGCTGTTCATTGGCAAAGTCAAACCCCAGAAATAGGGGAGTTGTGACCCTTCACAGGGCACCTGGGCTATTGTTTGGAGCAGATGGGAAGGTGTCCCATTCACAGAGCCAGTGGCCCGTACTGGATGGAATCAAACCCAGTCATCTGTATGTCATGGACCTTTAACAACTAATAGAGACTCTCTTTTCGTCCAAGTGGTAGGAGATTTTTGGAACAGGAAGATCTGAGTGTTATCTCAACTGCTGTTGCAAAGGGCCAGGTGACACTGAATACAACTGTAACTGAGGAATTCTCGGTGTCTGTAAATGCAGTGTGCTGTGAACCCTTCATTTACAAGTTCTGAGTTCAGATATTTTAATAAATGTGCATGAATATATTAGCAACCTGCTTATTGCTTCTATACAAGCTTGTTTATCCAAAAGAAGTTCCTAGTCTCTCTCTTTTAACTAGCCTCCCCCTCAGTATGCATGCAAGTGTGTCATAGTTATTAGTTCTTGTAAGATTTTAAAATGTGCCATGCTGGGGCATAGTTTGTTTATAACATCTATAAATTGCATGTGTAGTGAGGTACATATTTGGCCTGCAAGTTAAGAATGTAGCATTTTAAGCATTTTAGCTCTGTTTGTTATGGGGAAACTGAAGCCCATAGCACATACAATCATCTGTAGTAAATGGCTCCCATCATCAAAGTGTGTGCACTGAACACCAACTGCATCATAACAAAGGCACAGAGACCAAAGGACAGAGGAAATCTGTGTCAAATAGGGAATTAAAACTTTTTCTCCCAAGCCAGTGCCTGAACCGTTGGCCCATAATAGTTATAGTAATAAAGAACAAGAGCTTCTGGTCCATTTGAAGAGTTTTAGTTTTAGATGTTAGGATTTTAAAACGAAACAGATAAGAATCAAAGTCAAGTCACTTGAAAATCTTTTAAACAGGGATTATGAAGATTAAAGTGGTTCCCCAACAGATTTTTGTATGTTCTCTTTACATATATCTGTTTAAAAGATTTTCAAGTGGCTGTCTTGTCACAAACCAATTCTACTAGCAAGATGCACAGAGAAGCATTGGATTTAGAATTCATCCGCAAATTCAATTCTTATGCTAATGAACTCAATCATAATGAGGGATGGTTGGGACACTATCGACCTAACATTCACTGACGGTGCAAACAGCTCTTTGTGTAGATTCCCATGTTAGGAAGGATACTAACTATTGACTTTAATTCTTATCTGCTTAATTTTAACTGCCCAATCTTCAGATTCTTTTAATGACTCCCAGCTCTACCTTCCTGTTTTTCCCTTTGATTTTCCATACCTTCTGCTCCCTGTCTCCCACCCTCTCCTGTTTTTTCTCCCCTCTTCTCTCCTATTTATTTTGGGTCTGCACATCCTAAACTCAAAACTCCGGTCATCTGAAGAGGTGGGCTGTGCCCACGAAAGCTCATGATACCATCTACATGTTTTGTTAGTCTATGAAGTGCTACCAGACCATTTGTTGTTTTTTCCCATAGAGACTAACTCGGCTACCTCCTGAAGCTTCAGAAACTGAAATCTTAGGATTCAGGTTTATAGTTTTTACACCAAAAAATGTCACAGTTTTTTATGTACAGGTCAAAGGGAACGTGACATGTTAAAGTCTGCCAAGTGCTGTAGGGAGAAGCCACTCCCAGGGGAGCGGCAGGGAGGGGCTCCATTTTTTCTAGGTTGTGCCTCCCCGGGATCAAGAGGCACATTTCCTCTCTGGTCTCAGAAGTAGGAACTTGGGTTCGCTACACTGCCAGCATGAAGATTTTGCTAATCCTGGGGCTTGTCCTCCTGCCTCTGGCTGCTCCTGGGAAGATCTATGAACAGTGTGAACTGGCAAGAGAATTCAAAAGGCATGGAATGGATGGATACCATGGCTACAGCCTGGGAGACTGTAAGTCTGACTCAAAAATGTCCATGTGGTTCAGTTAACAGGGACGGGGAGAGAAATGGAATAAGTTGCCAAGTGCCCGGTTCTTGACTGGAAAGTCCAGAAAAAAAACCGAACCTGATAGTGTCCAATCAGATGTACTGACCCAGATACCAAGTGTCTGGTTACTGGAAGGGGCCATGGGTGGTAGGGGAGAGCTGGGAGGAATGAGGTGCTGGATTATCAAATTGTGCCAGCCACTGCATAGCCCAGGTCACTGCATATCTGTCGAAAGGCAGGCAGCAGGCTCTGAGTCAGCTGTTAGCTCCTGCAGGAGCAGGGAGGTGGAGACAATCCAGCAACAGGGAGGATGGAGAGCAATGAACGAGAGTAGTGGGTCGGGGGCAGAACCCTGGTGTCTCAGGACTTTGTTTTGCAGCAATGAGGAAGTTGGCAACCCTCTAACACCAAACCCCTGGGGTTTCCTTCAAAGAGACAGGCCCTATGTGGTGTGCATATGACGATCAAAAGTTTTACAGGAAGAATGGCTTTTCTTGCTATGCCTATTGAATAAGGGTTGTGAATCTGATTAGATTAAAAGGAATCAAACTGCCTATGTGGGATTTGTATTAAACAATCATTTGCAGCATCTACAAATGAGGGCATTTAGATCCCTATTCCTGTAAAATAACCTATGAAGAGTTTTGGGCATCTCTAGACTGGCAAGTTCCTGTGCTGTAACTTTCTCCCTCAGGTGTGTGATAAAACACGCCCCCTGAGTGCAGCAAGTTTCAGTGCTGTAAAGCACCAGTGCTGGTGCTATGGCCATACTTTCACTTTAATGTTTTCTGTGTACACTTAACCTTCATCACTGGAGAAAATACATCATTTTGTGTGTGTGTATGTGTGTGTGTGTTTAATGAAACCTTCACAGGGGTGTGCACTGCAAAACACGAGAGCAACTTTAACACAGCGGCCACAAACTATAACCGAGGTGACCAAAGTACCGACTATGGGATTTTACAAATCAACAGCCGCTGGTGGTGCAATGATGGCAAGACCCCAAAAGCCAAGAACGCATGTGGCATCGAGTGTAGCGGTAGGTACACTATAATGTTCCTATGAGTAACACTTTAAGGAGCTACTTCCATCCTCTTACACGAGTATGAGACTATGGCATTGTAGAGTTAGAACTAAAGACAGATTTTGTCCCTAGTGGCCTTACATTTAAAAACCCCCAACAACCTCTTATTCTAAAGATAATAGGACAGGGTTGTAATGGCTGGGTATGTGTATATGCTATAAAAGGGCTAAAAGCCAGGGGATTTTCAAACTTTCTTTTTTAGGTTTTTTTAAGTAAAAATAATTCTATTTCGGAGATGCATGTATTACTTACCAGTTATGTTGATCTGATAACACTGAACTTTGTTCTCAGAAAGTAAAATTCATCCCTGTTTGCAAGGCCAGCACAAATGCCAATTCCTGGCTTTGCTTCTTTTCAAAAAGAAACACTTAAAAGTTTCTAATGTAAAGAGACTCAATCACATTGAAATCTAGTCTATTTTCTTAAAGAATTAAAAGTGATTTTAAATATTGCAATTTCTCCTCTCTCTACCTGCCAGTTTTTATACTTTTACAATCACTATTTTTTTGACTTGTCTACTCATGTACTGTGTGAGAGACTCACACAAACAACATAGGTAACTGTCTGTCTGACTACATGCAAAACCAGCAAAATAGCCATTCACCAAAGGGCACAAGCAATCCTTTTGGAGAGGGGTTAGCAAGGACTTATGGTCTCATTTAACATATTTCACCCAAAAAGCTGTTCAGGGCACCAAATAAAGAAGTTGGAAAAAATACAAAACAATATGTTTATCTCATTTGTTTCTATTGCAAGTGGCTCATAAGTGGTATTTGTGGTATTATTTGGTTTAAAATGGTCAGATAAGACAGTGTGATACTAGATTATTATATAGAATTCAACAAAGATAGTCAAATAGAAATAAGCCTTGTCTACACTAAAGGAGAAAGTTGACTTAAGATACACTACTCCAGCTACATTGATTACGTAGCTGGAGCTGAAGTATCCTAAATCACATATTGGTGTTGTCCACAGAATGGGAGGTTGATGGCAGCAGTCTCTCCCATCAACTTCCCTTACTCCTCGTAGGAGCAGGAATACCATCTCCAATGGAAGTGCCCTTTCAGTTTGAATTAGTGTGTCTTCACTAGACCGGCTAATCTGAACCCTGGAAGATCGACTGCAGCTGCTTTGATCTTCTTTGTAGTGTAGACAAGCCCATAGAAACTATAACAAGAGGAACACCAAAATTGCCATACTGGATAAGATCAGTGATCCTTCTAGTTCTATGTAGTATTTCCAATAGCAAGGGCTGCTACCACATACTCAGAGGAAGGTGCAAGACACCGTACGGTAGTTGGTTATGGTACAACTAGCCCACAGATTGACAGCATTCTAAAGTTACGACTAACTGAGGAACAAACACGCTGCTTTCCACCATCATATCGTTCACTCTGGTTGTGTGTTATCTACCTTTCCTCTACCTTGAGTCTGTCTTTCTATTCAGATTGTAAGCTCCTCAGAACACTGACCCCCTGCTATTCTATGTTTGTACAGTGCCCAGCACTACGGGGCCTTCTTCTTGGTTGGTCCTTGGATGATACCGTAATAAACTCGAATAATAAATCATAAAAATAATCTCAGCACCAGTTTTAAGATGACTGATTCAAGAAAATGAAAAGGGAAATGGAGTTTTTTTTCTCCTTGTTACCATTATATTTCTCTCTTTTTTTTTAGAATTACTGAAAGCAGACATTACAGCAGCTGTCAACTGTGCAAAGAGAATAGTTCGTGATCCCAATGGCATGGGTGCATGGTACGTTTACCACTTTTATAAGAACTAATTGTGACAGATTGGATCACAGAGATCCCATTGAGACTGTCATCTGGTGTGCTGATCATACCACTGAGCCTGCCTATCTGCCCCCTGGGGTGCCCCACCACCTATCCTGCTGGGCCAGAAGCTCTGTTCTCCCCTATAAAGGCAAAGAGATGGGGGTGACAGCTCCACCAGAGTAATACAAACACTGATGATAGCTCTGGGAGGACTCAGCTATAGGGACTTGGCAGCATCCAAGCACACAGCCTTTAAAAGGGATCAAAACCTGCTCAAAATCCATCTTACTCTGTATAAAAGTTTTACACAAAAAAGGCTGATAAATTCACCCTCTTTATCAATGAAAGAAAGATATGCATGGTGGTTGCTCCCCCAACCCCAGGTAACAATTATGTACACTGGATTTGATAATAACCAAAAAGTGTTTTTACTGAGAAAAAAAATTGAATTGAAGTGACTAGAAGTGAAAACAGACAAATCAAAACAAGTTACTAATCTAAAAGAAACAAAACATGCCAGCTACGCCTAATACACTAAGGCTTCATCTACACTATGAGTTTTCTCGGCAAAAAATATGCAAATGAGGGATTCATTTGCGTGAGTCATTATCTCATTTGCATATTTTCTGCCGTTCTGTTTTTGCGCTGGGGTTTTTAAGCAAAAACAAACAGTGCGGACGTTTTCTTTTTGCGCAAAACCCCTTTTTCTGCAAGACCTTATGCCCCAAAGAAGGATGTTTACCAATCCTGTGGAAAAAGGGGGTTTTGCGCAAAAAGAAAACATCTACACTGCTTGTTTTTGCTCACAAATGGCAGCGCAAAAATGGATCAGCAGAAAATATGCAAATGAGATTGTGACTCATGCAAATGAGTCCCTCATTTGCGTATTTTTTGTTGAGAAAACTCGTTGTGTAGACATAGCCGAGGAGAAATAGTTACAAATTTATTTTTTACCGTAGTCCTTATTCCAGGTAAAATCTTCAAGTCAGAACTGATCTTTTCTCTGGCCTGGGTCTAACAACTTCTTGGGTATTTAGAGTTTTTTGTTTTCAGGTTTCTTCATGTGTGTCCTCTTAGAGTGCAGGATGCAGTTTCAAAAGTCAGCTGAAGACAATTGTTTATAACTTCCCATCCCTTAAAACAGAATTTTCCCAGGGCGGGAAATCTTTGTTATCTTCTCCCCATCTCAAAAGAAAAGTACCAGATTCAAGATGGATTTCAGCACCAGATGGCATGGTTACATGTCTTTATAGGACTAACTACAATTTGGGCTTACAGGACTAACAAAACCATTAAACAGATCATTCTTTTGAGCACTGGGTCATTAAGTCCTTTAAATACCACTAATGGTTCTCACTAGAAATTCTAAATTAATAAACAGGTTTATACTTCATATTTCTAATTTCACAAACAAGAATGTTACATGCATACAAATAGAATATACATATTTGGGATCACAGGCTCTTGAACAATAAGTTACTTGATCTGTTTTGGATAAAGCATATTTAAGTTATGCATATCCATATTCATAAACATATTTCCATAAAACATAGGAGTAAAGTGTCACAATTATAACAATTACATGATTACTAGCATGATTAGGAGGAGGCTAGTTAAAAAAGAGAGACTACAATCTTTTTTTGGATAAACAAGTTGTATAGAAGAGACAAGGATTTTGCTTATTCATGCTTATTTATAAACATATTTGAATTCAGAACTCGTAAACTAAGGGTTCATAGTACAATGCATTTATGGACATTGAGAACTTCTCAGTTGTAGCTTTGACACACATCAAAGCCACTAGGATGTTTACAGCAACAGCAGGGATAACACACAGATCTTCCTCCTCCAAAATCTCCTACCTCTTGTACTGAAAAAGACTCTCTATTAGTTGTTAAAGATATAGGGTCTATGATGGTTGACTGGTTTTGATTCCATCCAATATAGAGCACTGGAATTATGAAGGGGAGACTTTCCCATCTGCTCTAAACAACAGGCCAGTGCCCGGTGTAAATTCACAACTCACCTACTTCTAGGGTTTGACTTTTCTAATGAATAATAAAACAGCACAAAAACTGGTCTAAACCTTCACCACAGACTTGGCTAACCTGACACTTCCTTGAAGATGGCTCAGTCCACTCCTTTAGGTCGTCACTCCACTCCTAGTCGGTCTTGGACCCAAGGTTTCTCTATTAGGAGACTAACTCTGAAGCTTGCTTCCTCCCTTGGTTCTCTTCAGACTGGATTCAGTTGCTGTCTTTGGACAGATAATTAACCCCTTCCTGCTCAGGTTCATGGGTACTTGTCCACCGCACCACAAGCACACACTGTCTGCTACTTAGAGGAATGTATTTATTGAACATCTGAGATTTCCAGGAGTTCAAATCCAAGTTTAAAAACACCAGTGTAACACATCCAGAATCACCATGGACTTCAAGATTACGTCTGTGCTACACACCAGGCCGCTTGAGTGGGGACAGAACTTAAATCACGTTTCCCAAGAAACGTAGCTCTCCCTCGCTGGAGCTAAGAGGGATGTTCATTTGCTCTGTCTAGCAAGATAGAGCTTATTGCACAAAACTGAGCAAATTGGATTGTATCCAGTAGGGAGCAGTGGTACAAACACAACTACCTTCTGAGGCAGAAATAGCAACTGATTAGTGGGTATTTTGACAACCATGTGGCAATTTTTTAGATGTGTTGATAGAATTTATTCAGGCAGGCATACCTCCATGATCCAGCTGGGCCATTCAGACTAACAAGGTGCTGCCAGGATTGGTCCAGTAGAAAATTATTTGTTAGCTTAGCTGTCTGCAGAAAAATTGAAAATACATAATTTGAAAGTCATGTTTCCCTGGGGGCTTTACATTAATGGATGAGTTTGCCATAATCAATTAACATGATTTTTAACTCACACAGGGTGGCTTGGACAAAGTACTGCAAAGGAAAAGATGTCTCCCAGTGGATCAAAGGCTGCAAGCTGTAAAGTGTTGGGGTTTATTTCAGCCTTTTTCTCTTTTCTTTTTTTGCTAGAAAACAGCTTTTCACAGAGAGCAAAATGTTCCCTCTTCTTGCTTACTTTTTACAATTATTCAAGTTCAAAATAAAATAATGTCAGGAGAAAGATTTACAGGTCAACTGACGTGAAATGCAAATATTTTACTCCTTGCTGGTAAGATGGTGGATCTTTCCATGTGACCATCTGCAGTGACTTATTTTTGTGTTCTACACAGTGTAAAAGATCTATTATCTCTATATTACAAATGCATATCAAAATATGCCAAATCTGTTTTTCCTGTGAGATCTTGCTACTACTATGTTCTGCTAATATGTAGTATTATGTCGTCTTGCTTACGAGCTTACATACATTATAATCAATAAAATTGCTTACTTAGCACATAGTTTTTATGATTATTGGTTAATGTACAGGAGCAACTGAATATGAGATTATGAACTTGAGGCCAGCCCCACAAAGGTATGAAATCAATGGAAATTTAGGAGCCTAAATATCTTTGAAGAACTGAGCCTGACTGTATGAGATAAAGTGTGAATGAAGCATGTCATTTGGAAAACATGTTCATTTTATCTTGAAAATTATAGTTTGTAAAAATGTGACTGGCAATTGTAATCTGTAATATATAATTATGTTCTGAACCCACAAATTTGAGTTTAAAAAACTGTTAAAGTTCTTAAAGAAATGCACAGATGTTACTCATCACAGCATTTACACAACTCAAGCACTTAAAACAGCCATGGGCAACCAAGACCAGAGCTATATTAAGCTCTTCATAGGCCCTATGCACTCTCATAATTGTAGGTCCTTAAATTAGACTATGGGTATGTCTACACTGCAGAGGTGGCGGCCTCTGCCCCCCACTCAGGTAGGAAGGCCTACCCGTTTCTCTCCACAATGTTGTGGAGAACACAACACGTTGTGACCACCTCGGGGATGTTGTGCTCCCCACATCCAGGCAGGACAAGAAGCACCCAAAATGGTCATTCAACCTGCATTTGGGCCTGGCTGAGGTTTCGTATTTGATTGTTCCCTGCTGGGGTCCAGGTGGCCAGTGTAGAGCTGCATGAGCCAAGGCATTAGAAGGTAGGCCACATCCCTGATGATGCACAGTGGCACCTGCAGGTCCCGCACACAAAAGTCCTGCTGGGGAAAGAATGTCCCAGCCTCCAGCTTGTGGTAGAGCCTGGAGTTTTGGAATATGCAGGCATTATGCACCCTGCCCGACCACCCAATGAAACTGTCTGTGAACTATCTATGGTGATCGACCAGGGCCTGCAGCACCAGGGAGAAATAACCCTTGTGGTTTATGTATTGGGCCACTCAATGATGTAGTGCATGGACTGGGATGTGGGTTCCATTGCTGGCTCCCCGCAGTTGGGAAACCCCAGGGCAGCAAATCCGGCAATGATGGGGTCCAGGTCTCCCAGGCGGATGACCCTGCCCAGCAGGATGGAGTTGATGTCCCTCACAACCTGCAGACGGGGACAAAGAAACACACAAAACAGAGAATGAGAGGAAGTGCCTGAGCCCTTGGGAGATGCCTGCCCTCCTCCCTGCCCCCAAAACCCCCAGGAACCACCCCCTATAAGGCTGCCCTCAGCAGCAGGGCTGTGTGAGGGAGAGATGGCAAAACCCCCTGAGGACAGGGCTTTACCCCCACTCCCAGCCCACCCTCACACCCCCACTTTTTCCCCAGGCTCCCCAGAGAATGAGAGGAAGTGCCTGAGCCCTTGGGAGATGCCTGCCCTCCTCCCTGCCCCCAAAACCCCCAGGAACCACCCCCTATAAGGCTGCCCTCAGCAGCAGGGCTGTGTGAGGGAGAGATGGCAAAACCCCCTGAGGACAGGGCTTTACCCCCACTCCCAGCCCACCCTCACACCCCCACTTTTTCCCCAGGCTCCCCTTTCCAGGACTCCACCCCCCCCTC